CACCAGCTGCTGATTCCGCAGGCACAGATCTACAGGATCCATTTCATCAAGAAGTCCCACAGCATCAAGAGGGAGGCAGAAGAGAGCATGCCTGGCAGCCAGCAACTCAGCAATCACCAAGTTTAGCAGATCTGGATGGTAATCTTGATCGGCTCTCTGGACGGGGCGCTCACGAAACCAGACGAGAGATGATAGGCAAGCTCCTCACACAGGCTCTCAGACATGACCCAGTGAAGTATGGCATTTCGCTAGACACTGCTGGCTATGCCAATCTGAAAAGCCTTCTTAATTCCAGGCAATTCTGGCGGGCTGAAGTGACAGTTCATGAAGTACAGCGAGTACTGGAAACCTCACAGAAGGTCCGCATGGAGCAGATGATCTCAGAGGAAGACGGTGAAATCTACATCAGAGCCTTACAGGGTCATGGTCGTGACATCCCACTGGACGACGATCAACTGCATGAGGTTCTGACCTCCTCAACAACACCGGAGTGGGGTGTCCACGGGACGAGCTGGCGGGCCTGGCAGCAGATTCGCTCCTCTCAGCTGCGCAGAATGCAAAGACGTGACATACATATGTCTTTGTCACCAACCAAAACTGCAGGAGTCAGGGAGGACTCCTCAGTGGAGATCTGGATCCACCTGCCGTCTTTGATCGACAGTGGACACAAAGTGCGTCGGGCGAAGAATGGAGTACTGCTGACGCGTGGACCCATTGACCTGTCCCACATCAGCACTGTCATAGATCGGCACACAGGCAAGTCTCTGCCCTTCTACAGCGTCCTCAGCAGTTTCACCTGTACCGAATTCGTTCTGCCGTGGTCTACTTTCGCAGTGGGAGGCTTCCTCCGGAGGATTCCTCCACTTCATTTTAAAGTAGACAGCATGTACGCCCTCTGCTTAAGGCAACAAAGACTTTGATACAGCCTGAACGAGTTGTCTCTCTTTGCATGCTCTAAGAGGAGTTTCCCCACCCTCCACCTGCACATTGCCCAGGTGAGCTTAGCGTCGCGAAGTCCACAAGCAGTGGCAGGCACTTCCTTCTGCAGTTCCTTGTTCTGGAGCTGTGCAGCTTTCAGCTAGAGCCCTTGCATGCTTGTTAGCAATGGTCAATGCCTGCCTGACATAAGAAACCGCTTCACACTTCCGTTGGCAGTAGCCATTCTAACCTCGAATCCAGCCATCAACACCTGTGTTTCCAATGGAGAGCACTAGCTTGGTGCAAGCGCTCACTCCGCTCCTGGTTGCTCTCGTGCACCAGCAGGTAGTTGCAGAGGACCAGAACATCTCCTCCGAGACTACCAGCACAAGGGTTGCGGAGTATCTCTACACTCACAAGGTGAAAATCCTCGCTCAGTTCATGAACTACGCACATGAGGTGCTCCAAGCAGAGAGGTTGAAGACACTGCTTTGGGCAGTACAGTCATTGACCGGATATGATGAATGGCGTGAAATCAAGGCGGCCCGGCGCCAAAAGTTGCGGAGCATCAGCCTACGATACTTAAGCCTGATGAGGTTCACCGAGCTTCCCACCACCCAAGGAACGTGGTACTACAGCGTGATCCTCACCGAACTAGAGAGCTTCTATCGTGAGACGCACATTATCCGGTATACCTCAAGCATGCTTCCGCCGCATCTTGACGCTCAGTATCAACAAGAGGTTGGGCAGGTGCGTGATGAGTTCTTTGCAGAGGATGCGGAAATGAACATAGCGATCGCACAGTGGACCACAATTTCGGCAGGACTCACAGAATGAGTGGAGGCTACCTCCGGAGGCTTCCTCCCCTTCCTGCACCTCGCCGATTCCCTGTACACTTTTCAACACCTAAATCGGCACTTTTGAAGGTGCAACTCTCAGCTCGACTAAGCCATGCATTAGTATGGCAGAACTCCATTTAGCACAGAGGTTGATAATAGTGTCTCTTTCTTTCTTTCATTAGGAGGCTTCCTCCCATGTTGTTCGCATCTTTCATCTTCTTGAGACCTTCTTCATACATTAAAGTGCAATGGAGCTTCTTCAGCAAGGGATTGCAATATCACTTGTCTAGCCTTGCAACAAAAGCAGATGGCTTTTTGTGACCATCAGCGGCTATGAGGAAGAAATCTTGCCTGAGTCTGTGTTGCACAATGGGGATCCCACCCACCTACCCCATGCAGAGCACACCGCTCGTGATGCAGGCTGCATTTGGCTGACGTCAACCGATGCTCTGAACAATCAGGCAGGGAGTGATCTCCAGATAGCATTGCTTGCAGCTAATCATCTCGTTAGCACCAGCATGCATGCTCACACTTGATGGAACCTTCAGTTGTGAGCAGCTTGCGCTTCAGGCAAACTACAATCATTAATTCTCTTTTTCAGTCAGCAAGCTGGCAATCTTGATCTACTCTAGTTTGCCATGAACTTTTGTTTCTATCTTAATTTAATCTTTCCGTTTTCTTGAACCTATTGATTCATTGCATCAGATTAGGAGGTTTCCTCCTGAATATCCTTAACTCCACATTTTCTCGACCAGGTGTGAAATTTTGCCCTGTCGCAGCGCTGGCCCCAGGAGCCGCGCAAGGCGTCCCAGGCCAGGCTTCGCAAACTCAGCTTCCCTGCATCCAATTTGGGCATCCTACTTGGAACGTGCAAGGCCGCCTTGGTGCGCTCTGCCTACGGCCCTCTGCCAGTTGTTTAGCGTTACCTGTGTGAGACGTCACTAGACGGGAACGCTGAGTGTCGGCCTCACCAGAGGTACGGCTCGCTAAACAGCTGGTGCGTGGGTGCTGGACGCAGTGACTCACAGTAGGGTGTCGGGGTAGCCGCGCTTACTTTTCACTCTTTTGCAGTGCTGAGTACTTGATATCGGTGGCTGCCTCCGTGCCAACTTCAATTTCTTCATTGATTCATTGCATCAGGTCAGGAGGTTTCCTCCTGAATATCCTTAAGTACTCTGCCAAAGCAGATTCAGTATAGCAGGTAGTGAGACCTGGCAATCTGGAGGAAGCGATCCTCCCGAAGTCCAAAAGGCCGGACTGTGAAATAACAAAGGCGGGTGAGACCTTCTATATCACCCTTGCCCGCCTTAATCACACCAAACTCAG